AAATCAGACATGGGTGTACGCTTACTCTGAATATTAATTTCATTTCGTTGCCTGTAAGAGAAAATGAATTCATGCAATGTGCATGATATGCAAAAAAGGCCAGGTCACTCACAAATGATAAAACAGATGATTGCATACAAACTTCAGTCGGAATTAAAAAGCACCAAAGATACATTTGCACCAAAAAACCAAATTATAAGGGAAAAAACAAGTTGACAATGGCTGAATGTAACTGTTCTGCATTTACATTAACTTCACTCTGTTTACTCATATAACGTCCCACATACTTTTCAATAATAAACAAATCGAACGAAACTCCCTTTTTTGTGTCAGAGCTATACGTATCCATGAAATCAAATATTCACGAAATAGTGTTTTTTAAGACGCGAAAATTGAGTCCCATGACCATTCATGAATTAACGTACTTGCACATCATAACTCAATAACTATTAATATATATATATATATGTATATATACATACAAAACCATTGTAGGAGGGAAACAGATGTTATTATTAACCAAAAATTGAGAATGTTCTTCATGAAAAACAGAAATTGAATAACTACTAAAACACTACAATATAAACAATCATGAGATTAACAGCTGTTTTCTCCGTCTATGTCTCGTCAGTGATAGTAATGACTGAGAAAAATTTACGGAATAATTTCAAATATAGGAATCAGAATTTGCTGCGCATTTGAAAAGAGTTGAATTATGATTGATTGATAAGAATGAAATGTGAAACATGAAATGAAATATTAGTGACTGCCTTAATATAAGCATTAAGGTAATTTCAGATAAGTGCAGTTAGGTTTAATATTTGCAGTAAAGTAATTGTAACAGAATTTGTTTTCACTAATAAGGTAATAGTATCATCCAAATTGTTTTGTATTTTTATCTGCACAAAATAGAGAATCTTCTACCACGAAGGGTTGATATCTTACTATGTTTGTAGTGAAAGTAAATCAACCAGGCAATACTTTGCATTTCATTAAAAATAATTCTAGAAACGTGCAGAGATCAATAAAACGAATTAATGTCCACGTTTACACAAATATGTATATTCTGGAAGTTAAATGTTTTTTTTTTTCAGAACAGATTCATATATTCTTTAAAGCTCGATTTGAAATACGTCATGCATTTGATTGAAACACTTAATCCTTCATAGTGTTTGAAATTGTATTCCAATTTGTCTACAAGATTATTTGCAAATTGCTTACTTGGAGTGGATGGATTGTCTTCAGTTACCCTTAATGAAATTAGAGAAAACATTAACAGCTTAAAATGGCGGTTAGATAAAAAATAATTATATTTATTTTTGTCATAATTAGTTCAATTAGACTAATTTTAAAAATGAAGGCATATAATATAACAAAAAGCAAAAACAATAGCATATATATACTCAACAAAAAAAGAAAGGTTAACATGTTTCCTTGGCGAATACCTGTAAATGAGTGAAAACAAAATGACGTTTGTGCAATATTAGAAAATGGTAATGTTTTGCATTACAAAATCCAAGGGGGTTGCCAAAATCATTTAAGCGTGAAAGTCTGTAATAGCGAAAGAGCTGCACGAAGTTTTCTGCGACTAACTTGTATCTTCGCTTGAATTTCATAAACATTCAAAATGACAACTGTTCCTTAGATCCTTAGGACTTAGAAATCACCGAATCTTGCTATCTATCAACTTTATCATTATGTCCCGGCTGTCACAAGTACAGCGAGAAAGGGCTGTAGGCATAATCCAGACTGGGGAGTCTCGCCGTCGAGTTGCACGGCATTTTGGTTGCAGTGTTAAGACTATTTGCCAGTTGGTAAGTCGTTTAAACCAAACTGGGTCAACATCCGATCGTCCCCGAAGCGGCCGACCCCGTAAAACGACCTCTAGGGATGACCGTCGTATACGATTGATACACTTGCGCAATCGATTCGTAACCGCAGTAGAGACTACAAGGACATTGTTAGGGCGTCGTGTGTCTCCCCAAACAGTCCGCAACAAGTTCAGGGCCTACCAGTTGAAAGCGCGGCGTCCCTACACTGGACCCAATTTGTTGCGACGTCACCGTAATAATCGGCGTAACTTGACCCGTGTTCACCGTCGTTGGGCCTTACGACAATGGAACAATGTTCTGTTTTCAGATGAGTCCAGGTTTTGTCTGCAACACACTGACGGAAGGCGCATAGTGTGGAGGCGACGAGGGGAGCGTTTTGCGAACTGCTGCGTCGCAGAACGGGACCGCTTTGGCGGCGGAGGTGTAATGGTTTGGGGTGGTATTTGTGGGGGGACTCGTACCAGGCTTGTTGTGTTAAATGGCAGTTTAACTGGCATTCGATATCGGGACGAAATTTTTAGGCCTGTGGTTCTGCCATTCTTAAGACGCCATCACGTTGGCGCCATTTTTCAACAGGATAACGCACCAGCGCACACCAGTCAGCAGAACTTTCTTGCAACAGAATAACGTACATGTGTTAGATTGGCCATCTAAATCACCTGATTTTTCACCGATTGAGCATGTCTGGGACGTTCTTGGGAGACGTGTGAGAGAACGTCAAAATCAGCAGTCAAACTTGCAGGAGCTGGCCCAAGCCTTGATTGCTGAATGGAACAACATCTCTCCTCGAATTATCCGCCGGTTTACGAGTTCCATGCGACGACGCTGCAATGCTGTTTACTTCGCAAACGGTGGCCATACCCGTTACTAATGGTTTTACCTTTAAAATTGACCCCAACGTCCTTTACAGTCGAATAAAATCAACTGAATGCAAAGTTTTATAATGAACCATGACTGCAGTTTTATCAGAATTGATCAATTACTTTATTCGTACATGATTGGTAAGGATTTATGAAGGGGTTAATTAATTAATCACAGAATAAAGTAGTGTTACTTTCTTTTTTTTGTTTAATATATATATATATATATGTTTGTAATTATATATTGACGTAAAGCTGCCATTGATAAAATCATATGAAATACATTACTAGTTAAACAGAAGCAGATATTTTCTTTTTCAGAATTTTATGAAATATGGCAAATAACTGAGAAATGGTATCTCCCCTACATAAAATCGAGGACTTACAATATAGATTCCATATATAGCTTTATCAAGTAAATGTTATTTGTTGGTATTGAAGATGAAACGACTATGGATAATTCCTTAGCATAAACCGATTTCCATGTCAGTGGGGATTATATTCTATTCTCAAAGATGTAAAATGAATTTGCATGTCTTAATCCCTCAGGGAATTACATCTATGTAAATCCTATTATTTCATGTTAATTCATGCATTACGAGATTCGTTAAAATATACTAATACGATATCCTTGTCAAGTCATAGATATCCGTATACAATTATACAGGTACAACTTTGTAAAGATATATCTTAATACAAGGAGCATTGGTCGAGTGTTATTGATTAAGAGTGGAACTCTGTCATTAAACATTTCTCGGGGATTTCAATTTTTTATTGATCGTAGCACTGTATAAAGTGCCACGGAGAACTGACACGGACTAGGTAGAATGATGATGATGATGATTGATCTGCGTCTGTACATTGCAGCACTTTACAGCTCTCATTTCCTGACATAAAAGTCTGTAGCTATACTAAAATCAACATACATGCACAACTAATGGAATAGGATTTAGTCATGTGAGCCATAATTTGAAGTTGAAATGTGGAGGGTGGGGGGGAGGGACTTGCATAATAATTAATAATTAATTTGGATTTATTTGGAAATGTGCCTTCTACTGAAAATAATTAGCGCATGTGTTCATGCAACTGATGCAGCACGCCATTGTCACGTCATTGATTCCAAAGTTGAGATTTAACTAATTGATGAAGTATCATGTTTAACATTGAAAAATCAGTTTTTCTTTTTTAAGTTTACCGTGACACGATCAAAATACTGTGTTAATGTAATATTTTTATAAGAGAAATATGAATCGATATGTTGCCTGGTATATCAATTTCATTTTCAGGTCGTTTATTTTTGGTGAATAGATTCTTTCATCGATAATAGCGAAAATGAAACTTCTCGAAAGTATTGTCCTCTACTGTATACAGAGTAATCAGTAGGCGTAAAATGGTCGAGTTTATCTTTGATAATTTTTATTTATTCGTGTGGCATTATCTTCACAGTGTATTGTTATAAACAAAATGTTTGTCATTTAACTAAGGACCTGTCAAGACGTCATGCTAACACTATGATACAGATACATGTAGCATAATATATCTTCTTCAATCCGTTGGTTTTACTAGACCTTATACATTTAATTTGTATATTGACTGTAGTTATCGTGACACACGTAAGGTCCAACAGTTGTCCATCTGATTAATTTTATTGTTTTACAAGATTTTCTTCATATGTGGTACATTTATCAATACAAATCATAATACTGTAAATCACCTATAGTTCGCGTAGGATTTATCTTCGCGGTAATCTGAGGAGAGTCAATCTAGAATCCAAATCTCCGCGATTATTTGTACGGAAATAATTCTTGATGACATCCAAGCTGATTCAGGCTTCCAATATCGGAGTCTATATATATATATCATCAATGGCGATTTTTGTCTCTAGATTAACGTACGTATCCGTATATCCTGATGTAATTTGATAATGATAACATATTTGTATGTTTTAAGGTATCTTTTAATGAATGAAATAACAAGAAATATTAGGATTTACCTTGATCTTACTCCCTTAGATCACCGTTCGCGAAATTATGCATTCGCGTGTATTTCTGAAAAGGTAGGTTCGCGAAATAAAGAATTCCCAAAATCTTATTGATTTACAGTGCTTAAACATCACAACAATACTGACGAAATAGTATATATTTATTATTACGTATAAAAAAGTTCCGTTTCACCATGTTTTACATGGAATCTTATTTTCCTCAAAATTACGGAATCTTTGAAAAGGTAAACTTTAATTTTGCTCTTGAAGATTCCATTTTTATCTAAAAGTTTGAAACTTTACTATGAATTTCTGTATTTTTAACAGGAATTGGACTTCTGGGGTCTTACAGAATTGGATATTGAGCCTTGTTGTTGGGGTCACTACAGCAAGTTTAAGGATCACAAAGAAACGCTGGCTGCACTGGACGACAATTTCACCACTGAAATGGACATTGATGCATGGGGAGACAAGCCGACCAATCTAAATCGCTTCAAACGACAGATGTGGCAGTTCATGGAAGAGCCAGGATCCACACGTGGAGCCAAGGTATCTAGTTACTATAGACTTAAAATCCAACCTTTATTAGATTGAAATGAAATGTTGAATCCACTTAATATTCGACACATTTTTTAATTTTTTGTTTTTCATTGTATAAAAGAAATTGATACAATATATCATGATTACCTGACTTTTGTTCTGTTTTCCTATTATATCACATTTGAGAATACGATTTATTTTCCTAAACTGCACCATTGGCATGTTAATATTTGATTCTATTGTACATTTACGTTTTTTATTGAATCAATTATTTTTTACCAAACACTTCAAGCTAAAAGGATGCATCTTAACGTAATGATAATAAATATTATAAAAGAACAATATAATAAAACTCCAATAAATTACTTACTTTAACAGTTATCATCAAATATACTATTTCAGATTTTTGCTTTCATCTCCATGTCTTTCGTCGTATTGTCCATTGGTATATTCACTATGGAGACCTACACCTGGTTTCGGGTTCCTATTACTGGGGCGGTCAAGAAAAACTCCTCTGCCATGTCACTTACTTTAAACACTGTAGGGGACTACTGCGTCAAGACAGGAGGTGGGGAAGACGTTTACTCGTTCGCTGACACAAAACCTCATCTGGTTATGCAAATTTTGGACTACGTTTGTGCTGCTTATTTCACGGCAGAGTATGTGTTCCGTTTATTCTTTGCCCCAAGAAAGTTTGAGTTTCTACGACAGCCATTAAATGTGATTGATATTCTTTGTTTGATACCGCACCTCATTGCGATTATTCTGGTAACCATCGACCCAAACGATAGCACGAGTCAGCTTTTCAAATCAATGCTAGCCTTGAGGACGGTAAGAATTCTGAGAATTTTCAAACTGATGAAGCATTACAGTGCTTTTAACATCCTAGTATACACGATCAAAGTCAGCACAAAGGAATTGCTGCTAATGGTGATATTTCTTTTCACGGGAGTTTTGATCTTTGCGAGTGTTATTTTCTATGTCGAAAGTGATACGTTTGAAAATATACCCATAGGATTCTGGTGGGCGTTGGTTACCATGACAACCGTAGGATACGGAGATAAGGTACCAAAGACAGTGGGGGGATATATTATCGGTTGTGGATGTGTGCTCTGTGGGGTTCTCACGGTTGCTTTCACGGTGCCCATTGTAGTGAATAATTTTACTCTTTACTATTCACATGCACAGTCAAGAATTAAATTACCAGCCCATAAAAGGAAGGAATTAAAAAGAAAAATATTTATCAAGAACCAAAAGTCTTCAAATTTTCTGGATAAACTTCGGAAAAAGAAGAAAAATAAAGATTCACATTTCTCTGAAATTGACGCAATCGAAATAAAAAGATCGCCACCATGTGGTGAAGAAGCGGGAAAACTGAATTCGACAAATATTGACTTAAGTGCGTCTCGTCAAACGTCACATCTAGTCCACGAGAATAATAAAGAAACTGATAGCTCTAGACAAGAAAGGATTCACACCATTTCAGAAAAAATGGATGACGGTAGTGCGACTTCAATTACACCAGTTGAAATAGACGTCATAGAGAACGAGGTGAGTGTTGTTTTGAAACAAGTTTTGAAGATTTTATTTGAAGTGGAATGAAGCTTTGTAGATGCAAAGCTCATCATTTCCAAGCTTAATGACACAAATAATCGTGAAGGTTATTACTCATCACTAGTAGATTGTAAGCTTTTCAAAATGAACACATATTAGTAATCAATAAATACATGTTCCGTCATGTAGGTAGTTTCTGTTCAGTTAAGATTTTGTTGGCATAATGGTCCTTTTTTGTTGTTCTAGATATTAAATAAAAACAATTTCAAATATTTTCAACTTTCATTACAAGACAAAACATAACTAAATGCGGATTAGAAGTAAAATTGTCCGCTTAGTCGTATGCCCTTTGATAACCTTTTTCTTCGCACTAAAACTGTTACCACGGATTTATATATAATAAGATTCTCCTATGACTGAAAAAATGCATGTATTACTAGCAATCAAGACTGACATTTGTTTAATTTTAGCAACACAAAATCGAGACAACACAACTGCTGAATGGCCTAAAGGAGACTAACCAACGCATGAAAGAAGAGCGCAGGCGACAATTAGAAGTACTTCGGACCAAACGCGAGCAGAAGATGCTACAGAAAGAAGGCGGGAAAACACCTCGTGCAGCTCCCGCGCCCGCGGCAAGCAGTAGAAGACGAACAGATAATAGATAAGGGAATTTTGTCTGTTGTTAAAGAAAATTTCAAATATTTCAAATGAGATATTTTGTGTAGTCACATGTAAATAAGACTGAACAAGGCTTTCACACAAAATGAAAGGTTTTTTTTAATGAAATCCAACAAAGTGTGTTCTTAGCATTTTCCTTGTGTTCATCTTGAGAAGTGGCCTTGACATTCACTTACTGACACGTGTGGGCTATGTCGGAGACAGGTTTCATGGCGTTTTACTGCAGAAATGGGATCGTTTTTTCTCAGACACAATCACAAAATTTCATCGGAAGTTAGAAAGGGAATGACGTTGCATTTTATAAAAATCTGTTTACAGATACATGATGATGGAACGTGTCGTTCTGCTTACAAATTCATGAAACAGACAACAGTTATCTGAAATTCAAATTACCAAGATGTCGTCATGTACTTGGCAATACACGAAAACTCGTTGTCGTTTGTTCTATTTTATTCTTTTTAAATGTCTAATATGACATGAACTATGTGTTAATGAGTTATATTGTAATTAGAGAAATTTCGTTGCATGTCTTAATTACTTATATGATAGTTTTAAGGCCGTAATAAACCGTAGCAAACCGATATTATACGAAGTTCACAAAAGGCCGTCACGAAAATCCACTTGACCATTATCCGTACTCAAATGTACAGGTGTATATATAGCAGGCAAGTTCACAGGATCGCTGTGTAGTCTGAATATAGCCCTCTTACGGAAATGTTGGAAAGATTTTCGTAAATTGAGACATGTTTACAAAAGGTGAATATCAACAACTTTTATATCAAAATTGTCTTGTGTATTTCTCAGATAAGATCTTCTACAAAGTAATACGACTTGGCACAATAACTATCCAAAAATAACTACCATATGTTACCATCATAAATTTCTACATGTAGTGATCATGGGTAAATTGCATTTGTTGGTGAAGTAGAAAACAAGCACAGTAGGTAAACGTTGTATATTTTCGTATAGTATTTTCGATGTTAAACATCGAGAATATATATATATACATATATGTATTCTTATATCATTATAAAACATGCCTTTATTGAATTTCCGTCCATGAACGTGTATTGTTGAAATATTTTACGGAGTTTGAGAATGTATCACAGAACTAAAAAAAAATCGCAAAATTTGACATAATTACAGTATTCCAATGTTTATTGTTGTACAGATTGTTCTATTCTTTAATCATAAAGCACTTAACTTTATCTGTGTCGCAAAGTTTACAATTTTCGCTACAGATACTGCAAATGTTATCTTCATCGACGATTCAAATTTTCGCGGTTTTAAGAAAACTTTAAGCCAGAAGAATAAATGTGTTTTCAAGAAAGTCATAGAACGATCTATTGAATTCTCTGTTAGTTTTATGTCACAGGCAATCATTTTTCGCAAGTTTACTCCATTCTTGAATTGAGTGAAAAATTAAAACCCCTAAAAGATAATCTTTGCAGTACGTAACGTATGCATGTTGCATTGCTACATGTATGAACATGGACGGGCATGCGCAGTACATACCGTTTACGTCATACAGTTTAAAATTCATTATTGGTTAATCATGATTAAAAAATGCATTGATACTTCATGCATGCATTGTTGAAACATGAACCTAAATAACCAATAAGCAATACGCTAAATTTTATGAAGGAAACGCCATATAGTATAGAGACATGAGCCTAAAAACTCGAAGAATGTTGCATATTTAATAACACGAATAACTTCTGGAGTTGTCAGAGTTAAATTGTCGTTATTTGATAATTATGCAGCGACACGTAAGTCCTTTAATTTGTAAACAATCTGAAACTTTTTATCGTTGAATATATTTTGAAAGGTTAAAGGTCAATCAAATTTAGCTAACTGGTCCATACATTGTATATTTTAAAAGGGTATGAATGAGCAATGTATCATACACCTTTAATACAAATCACAGGTATGATGTGACATGTAAACACGTAGTTTTTGACCAAAACTTTTATTGGTAATCTGAGGATCAATATATGATTCAACAAGATTTTTTGTGATCATTTTTTTTCAACATTAGGTAGTCTGTTTGTTCATTGCATTAACTTAGAATGTATATTATCCGGAGTCATTACTGGCTATCTGTTACTCCGGAGAATTTGATATTTTAAATGTTTAGTTAAAACCAATAATTTCATATTTCATGACTTGCACCCGCCTTAACATTTTGAACTGTTTTACAAATATTAATTCTGTTGATCAATGTTTCTAGAGATGAAGTTAGGAAACATGAATATAATTTTTAACCCAAACATACGTGTTTGTTGTTATTTGTTACAGAAAACTTGCTTTCTCTCTTTCACTATTATCATTATTTTAAATATTTTCTGGTTCACAAAAAGTACACAAAATATGGCTAAATGTATCGTCCGTGTTTTTCGGTACACACTGACTTGTATAATAACTCTTGAAAATATCGAATAGACTTGACAGTATATTTTGATACACAAAAATACTTACAACAATTATTCAGCTCAAATATAAAGAAAAAATCGAATGATAAGTCTCGCAATATTACAATTTCTCGCTAAGCGAAAATCTGGCACAGAGATTGCATACTTTATGAAAGATGGTCACAATTTTCTTTAATCATGTATATTTTTTATAGTTAATAAAATCGCTCTCCCTTTGTGTTGCCTTTTGGAAACACAATCGGTAAGTAAGATATTACAGTAGGAAAAAGTGGTGACGTTTTTGAAAGACAGACACGTGATCATCAGAAATGTGATATCATTTCCTTCTCACTTTTGTTCATAGATACATAATTTAATTAAGGTTGATTATCTAGAACATTGATAATTATAGGAGAAATTCCCAAGTATGGAAGATTACATTTAGACTTTTAAATAAGTTTTCATTTCAGTGAGATTTGAAGAACCAAGTTCTTGATATTTTTATGTTTGCGAACCTTCGTTTTCGGTTACTTTCTACCAGATAAATCAGAAATGTTTCATTTTGATAGGTTTAGAAATAAAATGTGGAGATCAAATGAAGGCATCTGTTTTGTTGCGTCATTTATGATTAATGGCGTAACTTGTCCATAATGTGACATCACAATAAATTCTATTTCTGACTATTATCCGGTAAATAGCGTACATCGGAAGTTTTGCGAAGTTAGCGACCATTTTCAAAATCGTAAGATTTCATGTTTTCTTCTTTCAATTTTAAACGCATAAATAATACATCTACAGAGCTGATGTATATACATAAACATAAACACTTTCTAGTCGTGAATACTATTATAATAGATAAAAACTAGTCGGTATTTAAATCTCTTATCTAGTATAGCTGGTCAGTTAGAAGTCCAGTTAGAACCTACACTAGTATGACTGGTCAGTTAGAACCTACACTAGTATGACTGGTCAGTTCGAACCTACACTAGTATGACTGGTCAGTTAGAACCTACACTAGTATGACTGGTCAGTTCGAACCTACACTAGTATGACTGGTCAGTTAGAACCTACACTAGTATGACTGGTCAGTTAGATCTCCAGTTAGATCCTACACTAGTATGACTGGTCAGTTAGAACCTACACTAGTATGACTGGTCAGTTAGATCTCCAGTTAGATCCTACACTAATATGACTGGTCAGTTAGATGTCTAGTTAGAACCTACACTAGTATGACTGGTCAGTTAGATCTCCAGTTAGATCCTACAGTAGTATGACTGGTCAGTTAGATCTCCAGTTAGAACCTACACTAGTATGACTGGTCAGTTAGATCTCCAGTTAGATCCTACAGTAGTGTGATTGGTCAGTTAGATCTCCAGTTAGAACCTAAACTAGTATAACCGGTCAGTTAGATCTCCAGTTAGAACCTACACTAGTATGACTGGTCAGTTAGATCTCCAGTCAGAACCTACACTAGTATGACTGGTCAGTTAGATCTCCAATAAAGATTAGAATCTACATTCTTAAGTATTCAGTTTTCAACAGAGACCTTCAAAACTTCTGAGACAATGAAATGGCTAAAAAACAGAAAATTTTTGAAACAAGCAGAAATTACAAAAGGTTCATTTTGGGGATTGCACAGCGCGAAAACGTCCTAATATACGGTGTATATACTAGGCATATTTTGATGCCAAAATATGTGTAAAAGCTAACGTTAATAGAGAAAAAAACTATTAACTACGTCCAGTCTAAGAAAACCCAAACAGCTGGTTTGTCTGTTCCTGTTTACTGTGTATGCTTTCTGTTATTCATTATAGATGTGAATCTAGCTATATTTGTCAACATCGATATCTTTATCTCGTAAATCGACACGATTCGGTGCCGTTTTGGTTTCGTTTCGCGTGATCTGTTAAGTGTTCGCTCAAGTGCGCCTGACAGATGCCAACGTTACCTACCTGTTCATTCTGACTAAAGTACACGACCCTAATCATTAATTCATAGATGAGTATATGTATTTGTCAATAACCATTTACCATATACGTTTTTTGAATTTGACGACAAATTCCTTCGAGAAAACCTAATATAATGTAGAAAATTCATCCCAATGTCGGAAACAACCAAAGTCAACAGCTAGCACGGCCACCTGCTGCAAACCAGTAAATGTACAGATAACGGTCATGATAAATTTTCCTCCATTTCTCCCCCGTTATGATATTATATGATATCACTAAGAAAGACGTTATCATATACACCCAAATGGCCCATTCCGCAAAATACAATAACCATTCAGCTCGCGTGACAATATGCATTAGCCAATATAAACAATCAGCCAATCAATACACCCAAATGAATAAGTCAAAAGTCGATCAGCAAACTCTGGGACTTTCATTAGGCACATTAGAGTTACCTTTCATTTTGACTTTTTTCCTGTGGCCGTAACTTACATCACTTCGTCTTTGTTGACGTACAGACCGCTTCTATTAACTAATTTATCATCGTTTGGATCACCGTAACGTTTGTGCAGTGATCGATTACCGAGTGCTTACAGATCCGTTCACTTTTCGTGACGTAACAGTTGTCTGTCTGCAGCAGTTGTTTGAATGACATAATATAATGAATATGGTTTAACACACGGGTATGTAATATTCACAGCGGTGTAAGTGAAGTTCGCATTAACGAAAAACCTATTAATGGCAGCCCGTTGCTCATGCGTGTTATATAATTATGTTTATAACAAAAATCGTTACTGATTATGTCGATATGAAAACAGACATCGTCCATACAGAGCAAAAAAAAGTCGAGATTCCTTTCGGAATAAACAATTTATAATTGTCTCTTAAAGAGCAGCAATTGATAAATTAAGCTGATCGGAAAATATCATCAACACTTCTATGCGTGTGATGAACGTCATCATATATTGTGACAGTGTCATCACATTGTGTGATCAACATCATCGCTATATGTGAAAATGGTTTACCTGATATTAATATATAACAATTATTATTACAAATTTTTCACAGTTTTTTTTTTACTTAGCTTCAGATTACAATGAGTCATAAAACATATCTATTCATTCATCAACCTGTTTTTGTTATGATCAGAGAACGGGAAATGTGACTTGGTCCCATGTAAATTACAAAAGGACATAGACACTAAATTATATACATGTCCCGACCTGAGAGTATCAGCAAGCTGTTGGTACTCTTGTTCGGGAGTAGGACCTTAACACGTGGACTCAAGGCGTTAGACGTGTCCAGGATCCTTTGGGGTCCCCAAACAGTCGGTACTGCTGATGAGTAAATAATGTAGACACTGTGAGGTGTTCTGGATCCCTAAACTGTCGGTACTATTGATGAGCTGTATGACGTACAAATTATAGGTCTGTAAATGATACAGATGTAACTGGTCCTTTAGGGTCCCCTTGGGTGGATACCATTGTTGCATTTTAAGTCGTCCATCTGCAGATAGTATACAGGCCAGAATCCCTTATAGAGTTTCACAAGTTGTTGGTACTTTTTTATTGACTAGGACGAAGACCTGTAGATATTAATTATACTTGAGCCTATCGGGATCCCCTTACAGTTGACTTTATCGACCAGGATGTGTGGGAGCGCGTTGATGAATTGATCAAACATTTAATTGACTTTGCGTCATAGCTAGTCATTGACCAACGCGGCAGAGGTCATTGATTAATTGAGCGAACTAGTCAGTTCTTTGTTAGACGTAAACATTGTCAAATTTATAATGAAGTTATTGCTTGTTGACCAATTTAACTAATTCATAATATGTTTTTAAACATATGCTTGTTATTTGTTACGTCTCTTTATTAGAGAGGCACAAGAAAACACGATACGTTTGCAATAACTTAACTCCGATCCAGTAAGACAAGTATAAAGTGCAGGAAGGAAAAAAACAAACAAACAAAAAAGCGGGAAGGCAATAATTGTTATAAGGACGTAACAAGGTGCGGTAAGCCTTGAAAAGGGCGCCTCAAGGAAAGGACAATATGCGGTAGGCCTAGAACATTACACGATAGACCAGGTGTACTAATGGGAAATATAGACAAGAGTACAGTGCGGTAATGAAAGAACAAAAACATATACAAAAAATGGTACCAGTAAAGGACAGGGTACTGTAGGCTAGAGCATGGTGCGGTAATGTAAGTGAGGTGAAGAATTGAGGTAAAGCTATAACAAAGGACGATTTACAGGCATTTACGATCAATGTGAGGTAAGGATAGAACTTACTGATTTGTTGTAGACTCTATAGAAATTACGATAGCAAAATCTAAAACGGCAGATTAGATATGAATATTTACACTAAGACTATTGAAAATGTATACAACAGAAAGTATATAAACATCACAGGTGGTCCGGAAGGCTGAGCGTCTTCCGCTATATCGAAGTGAACCGCATCCTGGATCTTAATAAATCCAAGTAATGCCACGTTCTCAAATTTGGAACCGAAAGAGTGGCGAATGCTTAGTATGAATAGTTATTTGCCACAGTTTCACACATGTATGTATACATATAATCTGACTACGAGAGGAATGGGATTCAACCCGAGTAGCATCGTATTTCTGAGGGAGCTGAGATCATGGAAAAACATGCTCTGTTGCAGTGACCTCAGGAAACACTCTTGGAATTTACGTCATTTACAACAGCTATGGTCATTTGAAAAACGGAAACACAATTTTACTCTTTAACTGCTTTGGACATTACCTACGCTATCGAAAATGAATCGCTCAATAACTAGCAACTACATACAAAAATGATCAACAGAAGAAATCTAACGTTAACTGTTTATATTGGTATGTGTTTATGACGTCATGATGAATACTTTTTATGACGTCATAATGCATTTGTATCTATGTACGACTTGGCTACACGGTTACCACATCTAGAGAGAGAGCAACATATTGTAATGATCGAAAAATTGTGAAAATGGGCTGTAATAACTCGAAAGTGGAGGAACATACACACCAAGAACAAAACAAGAACAAGGTAACATGAATAGCTGCCGGTTCAGGCGACAATTTATCTAGATTAGAAAGAAATAGTCATTAGCAAAGTCCAAGTCATGCGTCACCACAAAAAGATCATTCAGGATTTTACACAGGTGTCGGTCATGATTTATTTCCTATAGAGTCGATTGCTATACTTGATTACGTGTATAGATATACAGAAGCTATACATATATTTATATGTCTTTATCATGTCGACAATGACATTAAAGAACAAAATACGACATAAATGGCGTTAACGTTAGACTAACATGACCAGTGCTCGAATACTCTTGATATTTTTGGTTCTCATCCCACAAAACGACCGATTTGTCCATACATAATGCATGGTAATTATAGGATGTATTGACACTCTTCAATCTCTGATAAGAAAGCTCTCTAACTACCTTGGTAATCTGAATCCAGCAGACGACTGCGCACGACAGCAGTCATAATGAACGGCAGTTCCTAAAAAGTTTGCAAACTTCATTTTTTGCCAACTCTGAAATAATCATGGTAAAATATCTTATTTAAAAAGAAAGAATTGCATCAAATGTGTATTGGACGTATTTTACAAAATACAATACATTCCAATTATTGGTCCATATCCCCCCTCCATAGAAACTCATGCAGATTCGTTATTTCGAGAGTAGATGTTGAAAGTACATGTCGACTTACTAGCCTTGGCAAGTAGGAACTTTCCTTTAGTCGAGTAGCAGAGTGTCAGGCTGGAGACCGAAAGGTCGTTAGTTCGAATCCAGTCGGAAGCAAGGTGTTTTTCATTACTCCTTCCGATTACAGATTTGGTGCCGTGACCAGGAATAGAACCCGGGTCTCCGGCGTAATAATCGACCGGCTCTAGCAACAGAGCGAAAAAACGCATGCTCCATCAGCGAGACAGAGTGTTTATTTAACACAATTTAATACTATATTACACAGGCATCGATTAATGTCCTTTGTCTCGTGTATTTTTACAACGTTATCCATTTTGAAAATAGTCTTTAGTGGTTTATGTGTGTGATAGGTTTTAATAATAATAAGTAGAACGACATCACGACGACATTGTAAATATTTGAAATATTAGTGGGGTGTTCGAGTATTGGTTCAGATTTCCGTCGATATCTGTCATTACACCTGTGTTGTTTGACCAACTTCATTTCAATTGCATGTGCACTTAACAGAGCTGAAAATGTTCATGACACAACAATCATTGAAATTATTGACAGGTAGTCATATTAGAACAGTGAAAAACTATGCTTTGTATTCCAACACTGAAAGTGAGTGTAATCAAAACTTTTCCATGTCACGTGGATTTTAACGAACCACCCACACAAATCACGTGCCACATGGTACCTAGTACTAACGGACTCGGTTATCTAAAGCAACATTTAACTCAATAATATACAGCGGTCTTTACGAATCAACGCAAAACTCAGAACAGATTTTTACAACTTCACCAACACCATTCGGATGTTCAAGGTCACACAGTAGTTTTAAAGTTAAACAAACACCATTCGGACATTAAAGGTCAATGGTTTTAAAGGTCCGTAAAATGCATGCAGGGATGCCATAACGATAAGATAGAAAGGTTTCCAAATTCATTGCCTTTAATAGGCGAGGACAACAGAAACCGATCAATAACCAGGTCCAAGGGAGGTCGTTTGTTACTATGGACCAATCCTTTGGCCAATAAAACTTATTTTTAAAAACGTGCTTATTTAAACATTTATTCTATTCTAGATCGAACCAGTCAACGTCCCTGTCAAAGGGAAGTCAGTTTCGTCTTTGGACTCTATTACTGCCAACATTGTACGTAAAACCGAACAAACAGTACTGATGCAGCTAAAGGATGAAGGCGTTGTTCCCGTTAAAGGGGAAGGCGGAGTAGCCTTTGTGCTAAATATCGACGGCTTATCCGAACCGGACCCGTTGTTTTCTACACTTCCCGGCGTTCCGGTGCATAATAGGGATCAATCCCAGTACGCCACATACTCCCGAGAGGCTTTCCGGTCCAAAAGCCACGCCCCTCCTCGACGCCTTCCTCCAATCAATAGGTCAAAGGCATCCATTGACGCAAAGCTAGAACGAGCAAGACTAAACCGTGAGAGAAAGATCGCTGAGAGAAAAGAGAAATGGGCGAAGAAATATGCAAGAATCGAATCAACGATGCAAAAGAAATCTCAAAGCGTCGAATAACTTTCTCATTTCATCTTTTTTTGTTGTTTTATTTCTTTATTTTCGTTTTGAAGTTTATTTGTGATTAAATGTTAATGTTTATTTCCACAAAATAATTTTGTTGTTTTGGTCTATTCTGAAATAAACTATTTTTCCTAAAATACAAATAACATTATAGGTATATGTAGATACAAGAAACACAACAAGGGAGGTTGCTTCAAGCAAATCATATACTGGTGTATGATCTCCCAATATATTTTTACTCGGGTCAAACTTTGTTATCAAAAACTGAGAAAATGACCATAACTGTATATAAGTAGGTTGATACGAGACGTTCAATCTTCCCATGCATTGTTTCACGGAAATACAGAATTTAGCAGTTGTAGATGACAGATCAAGTGTCTATGATATTTGTCAGACGACAGAGCACATATTGGTGTTGCGAAACTGGACTGTGTCGAGCTAGCTCAAATGGTAGAGCATCCCTCTTGGGTTCGTAGGCTTCCTGGCAGAATTCACCAGTCCAAGAGTAGAAGCTTTACAAATATCAGATTCTTCTTTGGAGCATAAGGACCTGGATTGGTTTGTTCGGTTATCAGGAAGTGGTGTAGAAATTAAGAGTACATGTCCCTTAACTAGCTTCCGTTAGAACAAATTTCCCCTATTGTAAAGTAGTAAAGTGTTTGGCTGTAGATCTTTGAACTTCGGTGGGGGCAATGTGTTTTTCATTATTCCTTCCTATTACAATTTGGTAGCACACGGCACAAGTTCATATCCTGGTAGTTTAACGCATTTAGCAATCCATACTACAGACAAGGTGATGCACGGACGTACAGACTAGAGAAAAAAGTACAACAGCGGGAAACTAGTACGAACTGACAGACATCGAATAAGTAAAATTCGCAGTTTAGTGAGAACTTCAGTCCGTGAAACAATGAAAATATTCTAATTTCAACATAAACATTTATTAAAAAATGGCCAAAAACTTTATATAGATTAGTGAAACTGTTAGAAAGCGAGATTTAAAAACAAGTCACGCTGGTCATTTTCCTGTATTTAAAATCAAGAAATTTAATATGTTTCAGTAAGAATAAGAAACCAGGAAAATATCTACAGTCAAACTTGCCTTTAAAATATATACACGTACCAAATACATTTCTATAAAGATAATTTGTTTTGGTTCAAAATTATATACTATTCAGAGTACGTGATTGAACATCCATGCAAAGCGACTTGTCTAAAGCGGCCACTTTTCTCTACTTCACTGAGTGGCCTTTAAAGACAGTTTTGACTTTGTGTGGTGAAGCTGCAGAACTGACGGGAAAATAATTACCTCCTAAAAACATTGTTTACATTCCAACCCGGATCCTTGGTCACTTGGTGTGGACATACTAAAATTAAACTCCTCCACTAAAGATCATTGATATTAGCATGGCACTATGTAACAATATCGTTTTGTATAATTGTTTGTGGTACTTCACAGACAATTCACGGTCATAATCCCGGCTCGTATAAATGTGTTGGTTCAGTGGAAGAGTTTAATTGGAAACTGGTCTAGAGGGAAATCTATCAGCATCAGAAATGATTATGGAATTATTAATTCTGTCGATACCATTAACAAACAAACATCCCTATTAATGAAAATTGGATATTATACCCACCAACCACGTGGGTACAGTAAGGAGAAAATCAATTTATTGTTATAATAAGAAAAAGTATTACACCCGTGTTTTGTTTTATGTTATTTTTTCTTTTCATTTAAGTACTTTTTTTCGCTTGCTTTATTTTTTTTTATCTTTAATGTTATTATCTGAACATCCACCAACCCCTAAAAAACACATTTATAGAAAAAAAAAGGAGAATTGATTACATGTAGGTTGAAAATTGTCAAATGATAAATTACAGACAAAATATTGAATTTTCTTATTTTTGAGTTTCTCCACATTCACTGTACACTTGAATTTGATTTTGTGTGATTCTTCAAAATTTTTTTTTAATCTTTGATGAAGATATTTTCTATATATACATATATAAGGTTGGTTAGTCAGATTAAACCTTATGGCTGTATGTTAATAAACTTATGTGTATGTACCTCAAATAAAAATAAATGTAAACATTGAAAACTCAGTCACTCCCCTAAATTCCTTTGAAAATTTCGTGGAAGTACCTTTTGAAGATGTTTGAAACCTTACAGGCCTGAATCACTTACTTGTTCCTGTACTTACACAAATACCATGACACAAACCTATTACTTTATGAATTGAACAGTTTTTTACTGTACACATCTGACCCCTGTGACCTTAAAAACAGGTCAAAGTAAAACAATTGGAACATACTTAGTACTATATCAAAGCAGGGTGGGGTACGTTTTGATGATTTTCTGTATAGAACATATTTACAGGTGTGCTCTCTTCATCACTCCACTTGGACATTCCTCAACCCACAGTACACAAGGATCTATTAATACAGACATTCCCTAACTACATACTCATACACATGTACAAATGTCAATTTATGAAAGTTTAAAATAAAAAAGACAGAACAAATTCAACTCTTTCCAATTTTCATCATTTAATTATATTGTGCAAAAAATTACAGGTGATAATTAAACATCACAGTCAAAATGAAATTGATTACCTTTCAACAACAAGTAAATAGACCTAAAAAATACAAATACAGGTACTGTATAAATATTGTTTTAAGGTTGTCTGTGGCTAGTCAGGAAAAATAGAAAATACAACATAGAGCCAACATGTAGTACATAAAAAAATAACAATGACCGTTTTTCATGAAGATATGAAAATAAAATTCTCTCTTTTTTCCCCCCAAGTCAAAATTCAAACCTCTCTAGATAAACTGAACTCTGTTTGCTATTTTTCAAGAATATTTCCCTGTTTTTGTTTTTCCTTCACCAAATAAATCAATTTCTGGTGACAATGATTGAGAATTGAGTTTCTTATATTCAAATAATTTTTTCTTCTTAAAAACTGCTTTTTGCTATAAAACCTGAAAGGATTTGAACACATGGAATTTCGAAATTTATCAATCTGATCAAAATCTTCAGATTTCATTCAAATCAGTATGAATGTTTCTAACGAGATCCAAAATGTGAGAAGATGCCAACTTAAGAAAATGGATCAATATTGTAATAGTGATGTTGTAGGAAAATATGCAGAACAACATGGCACTAATCAGTGAAGCAGTAAGACTTCACATTTTTCTACCATGGATTCTATAACACATTTCATAACAATGGACTTTACCTGAGACAGGTCAAGGTCATACTAGGTAAAAGAGTCAAGGTCAGACAAGAAATGTTGGTGTCAATTTCAGACCATGTAAAGGTAAATGTCAAGGTCAGATCATGTTAAAGTAAAGGTTTATGACCAAAGATCCTTGCATACCCTCAATTATATCAACACAGTAAGCTGTGAAGCAATGTCTTCCAATTTCATGTCCTTGTCAATTAAACCAAACACAGATCTTGAAGAAACCTCTTTTGTAAGAAGTATACAGTGAAGTATAACTGTTGGCATGGCGAAATGTCTACAGCCGATCACAATTTCTTTGTATTCCAGGCACTACTGCTGTCCTGGACAATTACCACACTTCATCCTGTAGATCTTCCTTGTGGTGTTTTCACATATGCATCAAGTCAATATTTTTACACACTTCTGACTCCAGCATATCCTGAAATTTTGTAACATATTATCAGAATGTAAAGGAGAAAAGATCTAGCTTACAATGACAACCCAGGTACACTAACTATTACATTCAGGAGAAACTGGGTTTTCTTAATGTCTGAAATAATTTTTTTTTTCACATTTTCAAATATATGAATTGAAGAGTAAGTACATGCAGAATGTTATTATTGAACTTGTTGTACAAATCTATATTGACATGGTCACTAGTGTACAATCTTTGATCTATTCATTACTGACTTTCATAAGTAAACAGGGCACATTGCATGAAAAAGGAATTTAAAAGGAGACAATTATTTAAGGATACACAGACCATGCACCATGAAATAATCTTGAAATTTAATAAAAATTCATATTTGAACATACCACTTCTCTCTTCAATTCCTCCAGCTTTACTTTTGTTAACGAAATGTCCTGAAATATAAAGTCAATTTTCATGTACAAAAATCTGAGGATCTGAGGATCTGCATATATGCTTAAATATCCAGACAAAATATTAAGGACAAAGGGTTTTATAAAATCTTTTTTTTTAAAAGACTTGATTTGAGAAGCATGTTTTTTTCCCATCTGTAACTTATAAAATAAAAACAGCATCTTACTGGAGGAAGACTGTGATAAGTTTGTAACTTTGCCTTGAGAGGTGCCATTTGGTCCTTCAGCTTCTGAAGCTCCTAGAAATGACGAAGTAAAATATGAATTGAAAAGTGATTGGTTTTATATTGTTAAACATGCTATCAACAGCTATGGTAAAATCACTGTAATTTATGGACAGAATCTCTTTGTATGGAAAGTGAGTGCATATGTTGCAAATTGTCTGTGCAAGTCTCCTTGTGATAGTGCAGAACTGATGGTGACTTTATAGTGATTTACACAACAAATATCAAACAATGTAAAAATAAATTTACAGTATTTATGAACAAGTTTTGCTCATTAGGGGCCCCTTGGAGCTGATGGGATATAGCAGAGAGTTTTGAACTCCTTATTGCTGTAGAGCATGGTGCTGAAAAGCTATGGCCAACAACCCGTGGTGAACATGACTATAGCTGACTGGAAGCTGATGGGTACCATAATTTGATCATACAAGTGTACAGGAGTCAGCAAGGGTTGGAAATTACAACACCTGGGCCTGAAGTTCAACTTACTGTTCTATCCCGGATCATATAGAGTTGATATATTGCAGTCTCCCTAACCCTAGGGTCCAGCATTGGATTGACGGGGTGTATAACAGCAGACTGACATCATTAATAACATTGGTATAAATTATATGTTATTACATCATGCCAGTTTACTGCCATAGGCCCAAAGGAGAACCGATGATGCCCCAACCCGCCCCCCTCCCCCCCACCCCCCCCCACCCCACCCCTCCAAAAGGACACAACATCCAACCCCTTTATATAGACAATTAGCATAAGAGTCCTTACACTACCAAATATTGAGCATCAAAATAATGAAGTAATAACTACCAAATTCCAAAGACCCTCGATTGTCTTGGTCAGGGGACAAAACCAAAAGTCTTCCTCACAGGGGCAAAATCTAAAAGTGGAGCATTGTGTCAAGCTGGCAAGCCAGGTTTATTTCTTTGATATTTTTCTTTCAATACTTATCCCCCCCCCTACCCCCCCAATAAACCCATTTATTAGCACAAAAAGACATATTTCCAATATCTTATTTAATATTATTCCCAACTGCATTGGTACATTGGAAGTATACTATTCATGTTGCACTAAACAAAATAAAAGGACTGTTAGCACACTGAGGATTTTACTATGAATTTTTCAGCAAATCAACCAACTAAAAGGTGCCTCATATTGAGGTTTCAATAAATAACATCCATTATATCAAAGTTCATTTTTTGAAAAAATGATAACAGAGCATCAAGTGTGTGTACAGTTTTCACAGAAAAGTGACATCAATTTCTAGATTTGATAAATAACAGGTGTTATAATGAGTTTTCATGTTAAAAGAAAGAGATGGATATATATCAAGATTTCAATGTCAGAAGTTAACAAGGACAGTATTTCAAAGTATATCATTAAAGTCTGTTATTTCTTTTGATGACGGAAACAATCAAGACATACAACTTATACGATATTTACCTCCGACTTGTGAACAAGTTCTCTGTGGTATATTGATGAATCTACTCCAGTACTTGACAAAACTTTCTGTAAAGAAAATTTTTTGTTAATCATAATATTTAACTGAATTTATTGCTACATCAACAGCTTGGGTCACTTGTAGTAGCAGATGGCTACCACACTGAACAATATACAGGAGGTCCTTCATAAACCAACCGTACCAATTGGGGTAAAGTGTTTTACTCTTACGAAAGACTACTGATGATTTATTTGGGGTAGGATGAGGTGGAAAGTGTTAAAGAAAAGGCTTGATTTTTTCCTTAACAGCTGGCATGAAGCATCTTGCCCTCTAGATCTTGAATTAATAATATCTGAAAAATGCTCCATTTTTAAACACTGATAATACTTCCTAGTAATTTGACACATAATTTTTTTCATACAGATTTCACCCTTATCCCATTATACACTCACCACTAAATCCAAGACTGAGAAATCAACTTAACCTTTTCTTCCGATCCATTAACAATGTACAAGTATATATATTAAGAAGGAAACAAACTGATATTATTATTTTTACAAATAAAATCTACTAAAACATTATGCATCATGAAATTATTCAAATGTTTTAAGATTGATTAAGGTCACTAGGTAGTTCAAGTAGATAAAGGAACCCAGGAGAAGGTTTATACCTGAAGTTGACTAATCTTTTCCTTGTACTCTTTGGCTTTGCTACGAGAGAACACTGTCTCTTTTGCCTTTCCTTCCATCTGTGGCTGTTGACTCTTCGCCTCCTGCTGTAACATTGCAAGGCTCCTGAAAACACAAAAGAATTTTAACCACACATTACCGACAAACTTTAGCCAACTTAAATTAAAAATCAAGCTTAATTCGCTAAAAATTATGTGATTTGCTTGTATGGGCATCGTGGTCTAAGGGAGACTACTCCTATATAAATTAGTGGCAAAAATTCCCTTCAATAATGATATCTTAATTTATCAACTTTATTTTTTATCCCGTGTTCTATGCTTCCAAATGTTTGTATGTATCTGATATTATACCAAGCCCATGTTGGTTATAATCCTGCCCAGTCTATTGGCGTGTCAGTATAACTACAAAGTCTTGCTACACCAATGACTACCTGGCTTCCTACTTTGAGTTTTGGAGTCCATGTTGCTCTAGGAGCCAACTGCAAAATATAAATATGGTATGCTCATCGCCTTGCTGCACAAAATTCTTTTGTAATAATAGACGTAGCATTCCACAATTTACACTGAAAGCCACATTTCAACTTAAAGGATTAGTTTTCATATTTTCTCTTCAAATCTTGAAGAAAAATCAGCAATGTAGCAAATTAACCTTTGTCCACTTGATTTAAATCCTTGAAGATGTAGATGGACAAACAATGAATTATTTGTCTGTGTGTTATTTATACCTTTTGATAGTATTATATTTCTGAAGAGCAGTCTTAGTTTTGTCGCGAAGATCTTGCAAAATTGTCTGTTCTTGGCAATAAATTTCTTCTGTTTTGTACAACTCATCCTGTAGGGCTTGTAATGCCAGCATATAACTGAAATGAATCACTCACATCAGAAACATAATCCAGTTTAATTCTATAAAACAACACCATAAGTAAAACAAGATTCACTTTTCAATCATAAAATAACTCTAAAAAACAATCTGTAAACTTCAATGAAAACAGGAAATGAGGACATTTACGTTCTTACTATTTCTGGTTGATAAATTCATCAGCCCTTTTTTGTTAAAAGTTTTCACCAATCAAAGAGATAAAAATCAAAGACTTCACAAGAAATTCTCCAAATATCGAATCTCATGGGTAACTGTGAAAAATATTTGCTATAACATACTATTTGACAACAAAATTTCTCCTAGTAAGCCAGAGGTCCTGGTTTCAATTGTTAGTGAAGGCAATGAAATAAAACAATGACCCATGTGTTCCATTATTGAAATTTTATTGTAACAAATATCAAAAAGTTTTCTTCTCTTCCGTTATGTTTAACATTACTATTTTATTCTGTGTAACATAAAGTATCTTACTTGGTATCAGAAATGTCCTTGATTTGCAGCAGTAGGGCGACATTAGCCAGATTTCTTACACTCATTATACCGGACTGAGATAACACTGAAGATGTGATACTGACACCTTTCAGTACACGTTCCAGTCTTCCAGCTGTTAAACAAACATTATCCTGCATTGACTCACAATAGCTATACGAACTACATTCAATTGAAATGACTGCAAACTCAAAAACATCTATATTGAATTCTGAATTGTTTAGGGTGGTCGGGTGGCACAGTGGTAATGCACTCCCCATTCACCTAGCTGTCAGGGGTGCGACTCCTGAAACGGACATGAAAAGGTAAAGTCACCTGCCCGACCACGTTTGTTTTCCCAGGTACTCTGGTTTTTCTCCTACAATAAGACCTCTCACGCACTTACATCTGGGCCAACATGTTTTTATCCAGTTTACGTATCTACTATACTCTTCTAAATATTGATATCTTTCATTCTTTTTATAAATTATCTTATACATGTATATAATTATATATATTAGAATAATTGTGGTATTTCAATCAAATACGTGGTACATCTTGATTTACAATATTTCGGCTTATTTATTTGTCCTTTTTATGATTTTTTTTTCTTGATTACTTGAAGACTGTCATGCCTAGTTTATTTTTTAAATAGCTGCTGTGTATAGTGATATTGTAAGAAATATTAAAATAAGGTCTTCTTTTATCTTCATAATAATCACTCAATGATAAATTCAATTTCTGAAATCATGATTGCATCATTAGTGTGAATATATGCAGATGTAATGAGCTACATAATATATCTCAATTTAATTTTTTTATATAAAATTCTGCTTTACTCAAATAATAAAACAAAAACAAAAAACCCTGACACTTGCATGTTCAAAATAGAAAATCTTTACAATGACTGAATTTCATTTATTAATCATTGTTTTTGGAAACTTTATCTTGAATAATCTACTTCCCCAAGAGCCAAAAATGCTAAAAAAGATCAGTAAATCAGATATAGATTTTCATCATTGCATGTTGTACTGTAAATCATACCTTCTGCATTATATTCTTGTGTTTTCTGTCGTAAGTCTGCTATGACCAGTTGTGTATCCTCATCCATAGACCTATTTTTCTTCATTAGATTGTACAACACATGAATAGTAGTCTTGTTCAGCTCGTAAGAAGGTACTGACTCTCCTCCAAATACATTCTCCAGCCAAACTTGGATCTGTAACAAATGAAAGTGAACACATGCACTTTCTTCCACAAAAGGGTCAGGCACAAATGTTTTAGTGCAATATTGGCCCTGAATACCATATCTGAATATTTTTTTTGAATTACATCTTGTATCAGTTACAAGGATATTTTGTTTGCTGGGTTCAAATGTCACCCGTGAGTATAGCTCCACAGGGAATTCCCAACCAACAGTCAATATATATGTAGTACAGTTACAATAACATACATGTATATATGGATCGTGGGGAGCGAATTTGTGCAAAGCCCTTGAGAACAGTCCGGAGCTACTGTCTACCTATAATCCATAACAAAGAGGACGCATATCAGCAAATTTATTAATGAGTGTGCCGACTGCGACCCCAGTCATACTGTTTCTCGTCGTTTAACCATCTAACATTGGAGTTAAGTTAAAGTTAATTTCCATATAAATCAGAATTTTCGGAATAATTCGACCGGGCCCGGCGTCACTTGTTATTTGTACAGGCATACCACATGTTGAATGTATTTCATTTACAATTCTCGACATCACAATTCCACCCACAATTAAGTGACAACAAACCTCCTGATGCCTTTCGTTCATGGTGTTTGAAAGACTGGACATTTTAAGTGTTTATCTCGTCAACATTTTTCATGTTTTGGCGGCCGGAAGTTCCTCTTAAAATTGACGGTTTAAATAAACGCGACGCTAACCAATTTTATCCACAACAACACACAAGAATTGTAAAATGTGATTTTTTTTTACTACGCTTGTAACTGGAACTGGTTAGAGATACCAGTAAAATTATCTTACCATCAGTTTGAGGTAAAACCTATCTTTACATAAAATGAATGGACTTAAAGGATTCACGATGTTGTTTTGTTCAATATCAGGGAGGTCGTTTAAGCTTTAACACGCATAGCACAATAAACATATTACTAGATATGAGTTATTTCCCCTTGTTAAATTGATATTTCGTTTTGATAATGTGTATATGCTGTGCTGCATTGGTTAAGAGGAACTAGAACATGACAGGCAACAAGTTCGATTAAAATTGATGTGTTTTCTTTTGATTTTGATTTCCAAGTACATGTTAAAGGCACCTTTTGAATCGATCAGTGTTTTCGTTAACTTATCTTGAGCGCGCCCGATATCATTCTGTATTACAATAGAAAAATTAACACTCGTATAGCTCGTTGCCTTAATCCACTCTACAGTTTTAAACATTTTATTTAGCTAAGAAATACAATATTCTGTTACAATTTCATACCACACACCTACCGATTTCCCCAATCTGCTCTATTTCAATACGTGTATAGAATGTTACCATAACGAATCAATGACGCCTAGTCCGTAATTCGAGTTGAATCACGAGGAAAAAATTGTGGTTTTTGTCTTCAAATCCGGCACCATTTGACCTGGGATATCTGAAACTCAACCAAAAGGAGCCAAGACAACACACGTTCAATCGATCAAGGGTATCTTAATGTAAAATCAATACTTAAAACAACAAACATTAACCAGTTGTAAACAAACGAGGTTTTTTCCATGGTTGCTGATATGTGACATTTCGTTATTTCGTCTCGCCAAACATCGCCTTTTCACAACGACAGAACGAAAAAACAAAGCACATGAGACGAAAAAGATCAAGCTGAAGACACTGTCTAGCCGAGGGTGACTTATTATCGGTATTTTAACCGACAGAACGAAATAACAATAATCTTCTTTCTTTAACCTTATTTGACAAAATATTCTTTTCATGTTTTAAATTTATTTAGATGATAATGACTCCAGAAATCTCTGTTATAAACAATCCTGACTTCTTTAACGTAAACTCTCTGACGCCTACTTATTTCCTGAATCTGATCTGAGAGAACAACAGACAGATCTCCAACCACCACGCTGATTTATCACAGAGATAACCAAACTTCAACCCCATTTCATCGCAGAGATCACCAACTATCCCTGTTGTTTTATCGCAGAGATCACCAACCATCCCTGCTGTTTTATCGCAGAGATCACCAACCATTCTCACTGTTCTAACACCGAGAGATCACCAACCATTCTCACTGTTCTAACACCGAGAGATCACCAACCATTCGCACTGTTCTAACACCGAAAGATCACCAACCATTCTCACTGTTCTAACACCGAGAGATCACCAACCATTCTCACTGTTCTAACACCGAGAGATCACCAACCATTCTCACTGTTCTAACACCGAGAGATCACCAACCATTCGCACTGTTCTAACACCGAGAGATCACCAACCATTCCTGCTGTTTTATCGCAGAGATCACCAACCATTCTCACTGTTCTAACACCGAGAGATCACCGACCATTCTCACTGTTCTAACACCGAGAGATCACCGACCATTCTCACTGTTCTAACACCGAGAGATCACCGACCATTCTCACTGTTCTAACACCGAGAGATCACCAACCATTCTCACTGTTCTAACACCGAGAGATCATCGACCATTCTCACTGTTCTAACACCGAGAGATCACCAACCATTCTCACTGTTCTAACACCGAGAGATCACCAACCATTCCTGCTGTTTTATCGCAGAGATCACCAACCATTCTCACTGTTCTAACACCGAGAGATCACCGACCATTCTCACTGTTCTAACACCGAGAGATCACCGACCATTCTCACTGTTCTAACACCGAGAGATCACCAACCATTCTCACTGTTCTAACACCGAGAGATCATCGACCATTCTCACTGTTCTAACACCGAGAGATCACCAACCATTCTCACTGTTCTAACACCGAGAGATCACCAACCATTCGCCTGCTGTTTTATCAGAGATCACCAAATATACCCAGAGTTTTATATCTTCATTATAATGAACATGTTTTTATTTTTTATTTTAAATGTCAATATGATATATGTATTAATCTTGCAGGCTTTCACGGCGACACATCTGCTATTGAGGAAAATGGTTGAGGTGAAAATACAATACGATAGATTCAAAGGAACAGTCCAAGTAATCAAAGAGGCAAGAATAATGGCGTAACTATCCGACACAGATTCGTACTAAGGTTACATGGGCTATTGACAGATCCAACAGACCAAAGCACTCTACTATTTATCATGAAAATAGATGGATCAGGTATGACAATGAGAAAAAAATTACCGCAGAACACAATAACCTCGCATCTTAGCATTGCACTCTATACGATACACGACAATAACGTTATCTTGAGCGATACGGAGTGAATGCCACCACCAACGCCATTATATGTGTCCCTCTTGCTCCTGAAGCCCGGGAACGTCCACCAGTCCAATGTTTATAGCCTGGTGTGTGTGATGGTTCTGTTCCTAATGGGCAAACTTGTTAACATTGCGAATCAATGCATGGATCCTGAGCTAGGCCAGTGACCCTCCTTACCTGTTGTAGTAAAGAGTCTCATGGATCTCGTGTCAACAATCTGCAGTACCGGTCACCTTAAGCTTTTATAATCGGTTCCACAAAGTATCATCGGACTACAAGAAACTATCAAGAAATAAAAGTTTGGTTCTACGTTAACGGTTTAAATTTTTCAGACTCTGTCAGCTGTGCTATACACAATTATTAATTCAATGATTAATGGCAAATGTTCCTCTGTCAATGTTGTATAGATGTCTTTAATGTAACGTTACATCTAACATTACTTTATTTACTAAAAAATACGAATGTCATTGGTTAAATGGAATATATCCTCAGTATTTCACGACTTTGCTGTGTTTTAGTCTGTGATCTCGCGAAGCGAGTTATATGCGGAGCTTGTTACCGAAACATCGACAATGTGCAGAATGCAGCATTCACGAGCGACTGATCATGAGTGGTACCACCATCACCACATCCGAAACAGACTAACCATCAGCATCACAAACACAATGTTCATTGGTGCTTTGAAACGCCTTTCTATTTACGTAGGAAGGCTCGTCTTCATGTGGTGACTGGATACGAATGTGCACCCCATCCACAGCACCGATCACAGAAGGAAACTCGGCGATGGCGAAACATCTTGGTTTTCCTCACTGACACTCTGTCACCAGCTTATAACTTGGTCAGTATGGAAACCCAGTTGGTCAGTATTGAAACTCAGTTTTCCACATACACAATGGACAAATTGGGAAACCGTGCTTTTGTCCAAACCGTTTAGTGAAATAGCAAGTAAGTTTAAAGTTTGCGGAAAGTGCCGAGGGTTCGTGATTGCAGAGGGGGCGGGCCAGAATATATATCTGTGAACCTTAATAAAATTAAGCAATATTAAATTTCGCATTAGTTGTCGAGTCAAACCAGCCAATTCAGACAAAATAAGTTAAGTCACATACCACTTGTACATGTACCTCGTTTGCTATATACTGGTTAAACTTCAATCGTCACATTAAAAACCTTTGAAATATTCCAAATCGAAATACCTGTTGCATTTTATGACAGACGCCAAGTACATGTACATTTCCCTGATCAAGAAAGCACACGATTTTTCGTTTGTTTATGTGTAAATTAAAAAACGTAGATTCAGTTATTCCGTTAATTTTCTGTGATAATTATGATGATAAATCTACAGTATACATGTTTTATCTTGAAGAACACTTTTCAACATGCTGACAATGTGATACCGATTTTCATATTACTTAAATAAAAGTAATTACTTGTTGTTTTTTTTTTCAAATCCTTAAATATGATCATCGTTTTTCTTTCAAAATTTGAGCTCTTTAAACAAGAAAAAAAATAATGGCCTTATTTTCAAGAACATGGTAAGTCTATCGGCTTCACTCCATAATACCGTATGAAATGTACGCATTGTACAATATCGTAAATTTATTTAACTTTAATTTAGTTTTACTAAACCTTTTTAAAGCTAATTTAGCGTTCTCTGTCTTGTCTTGTTTTGTCTTGCTTTGTGTGTACTAATTATAAAATAAATTCCTGTAGATGTGAGGATTTAATCGAATGCTAGCTATTGACAGGCTTTAAACTACTAATGCAGTGCATATGGGAGACGATCCCTAGTAGTCTATATGTTTATTATTAACATACTAGGATTAAGAGGAGAGTTGTGAAAATCAATGGTTTATATAGTTTTTGGGCATTCAGTTTATCTCAATAATTTTATGAGCACATCTATAAACACAATGCTTTCACCTTATACACAAGTTAAAAATCCTGCTATGTAATTTTTATAACTAAAACCTGGAATTAACCTGATACATGTAAGGACATTTTCTATTTAAAGAGAAACCGAAACAGGCTGCGATTGACTGGTCGTACTGTACCGAAACATCCAGGCGCTGTCCGAGTTCAATCAGTGTGTGATTTTTATTAGTACCGGTCTGTTCCAAGGGACATAACTCTTAAACAGCATGGATGCACAAGCAATGCAAAATCTCTGAATCTAACCATATGACTTTCTTCCTGTTATGAATACATACAATCATCAAACTGAACATGATTTTTCATTAATTGAAATTGACCCAAGAGTCCATAGAACTTCAGAAACGTTAAATTATTTCACTTTCAGATCAAATCACGTGACCTTAAAGCGGGGGAGATTTAAAATGGCGGAAAAAACAATAACACACAAGTTATTTGGGGCGCTCAACTCAGAGGATTTAATGTATGCATTTCCGTTTTTTTTGCATCTAATCGATTATTGATAGGTTGATCTT